CTGCTGATTTCGGTGCACAGTGTTGATTTCGTTGCTTGATCAGTTATTGCTCATGTTACCGGTTGCTGTAGGAAGCCGACGGGCATTTCTAGAATAGGAAGGAAGGATGATAAGTTTCCTGGATGAAGAGATAAAATCTGACGCATGCCCAAGTGCGCATCTGAATTTCATTGCCACCTGCACACTGCATTGTTTTCAGCAGCATATGCATGCAAATATACAGCTCTGGCACTACTCTCGATGAACACATCCTTTGATGTAGGCTCAGCTCAGTTCAGACAAAATGCCAAATCATGATTTATTTTCACTAGTTTATGAAACCAGGATCTGGCTTATGGATGGTCAATCAGATCCGGCTTTGTCTTGACGTGTGCTGATCTCAGCACCTTCGGTCTGTAGCCGAAAAGGGCTGTTTTGAGGAAACAAATCCAGATTAAGTTTGGATGCCTGCATTCGCTCATCACTCAAAGACACGAGACTAACTATCTCTCCCTTATTATAATTGAATAGCAACGTTCTATATTGAACGTTCTAAATTTGGCCCCTTTAGTGTTTGGCCGGAAGAACTGTCAGTCAGAAGACGCTGGCTTGGTTGACTGGCTGCTTTGTGCAGTCCCGCCCAGCATTTCAAGGTCTTTTGCATATGGAAGCTGATTGGACTTCATTCCACACCTCAAACTCCCCCCCCCCCGCAAGGCAGTTGGAATTTTCAGTTGCATAGACAGATACAATGCCATACTCCCCACCCTACTGTATTCTGAGGTAAAATATGTCCTCACTCAGAACACATCTTCCCCTTCAAAAGAAACAAACCCAATAACACAATCATGCCACACCACAAAGACAACAGATCACACCACAAGCAGAATACCACAAGGCAAAAAATGATAGGAAAAGGTGCCAGCAGTCGCCCCATTACTGCCACAGAGAGCGCTTCAGAGGATGGCGTGCAGGTCCCAGGTTCATGTTTTAAAAGCAGCCTGGGGAATTATGGACCATTCACACACTTTCAACCTTAACATACCTCATAGGGTACTTGTGTGGATCATATGAGGGAGAGGAGAATGATGTCAGCTGCTTTGGTTTCCACTGCAGGGAAAGACTGCCCTTTC